GGTCTGCATAACACACCGACACATAGCCGGTTTGGAACTTATGGGACATGTTTCCCAAGGCACCACAAACCAAGAACGTCGGAAGCCTACAATGGTACCTATTGCGGCCCTCAGGTGCTGCCCGAGCTCCCGCCCTCCGTGGACATGGTGGTAGCAGCCTACAATGTGGACATGATGGGCAAGGTGCCATAAGCTCTGAAGCCCAAAATGTTCTCCCAGCCAAAACACAACTAGCCCTCGCGACGTATGAAAAAGAGTGACAGTGTAATCGCAATAAGCAAACACTCTATACAGAGCCTTCCACACTTGACGGAGCTTCCTTTCATCACCCACAGAGTGCTGTCAGTCAATGCGTCTAACAGCAAGAGGCCGTCTTGAATGTGATTGTGCTCTGAGAGGACACATTTCCTTATGGTTTTTTGCAGGCAGGAAAATTACGAAACAGATAGCGGTTCAACATCTGCTGTGCCTTTGCCAGAATGCTTCGCCGGGTTGTCTGTGGTGCCCTCAAGCCCTTGGGTTCCCAACGCCCTCAACATGGACCATACTCGAGCCGTGAGAGTGAGCAGGCCCTCAATGTTCTTGAGCCCTTGGCTATGCTGGCTTAGGATAAAAGCTTATGGCGTTGTGTGGTTGATGAGAGTAGTTGTGGGTCCTGGTGCGAAGTGGGCGGAGAGCCTGTCGCTTCTGCGCATGCTCTTGCGTAGCAGGCGATGAACGTGGCCAGGCGGTTTGCCACCCAGATGTCAGCCGCAACTAACCAGCCGAATCATACCTCATTCACCTGTGCTTTCGTTTCAATCAGGTTTTGAGCAGGGGTCTTTCAAGACCTTTAAGCTAGGCCTACCTCAAGACAGCGAGGCTTCGGCTGGCAGGAAAGTCTGTGGATGTTTATCCGGAGGCTCGACGGGCGTGCGGCAGTTGACGGCGGCATCACAGCATGATACCTAAGCCCTTTTAGCCTTTTGAGCTTAGGCCAGCTTACGCAAGTGAACTTGCACGCCAAAGCCCCAAAGAAGCCATGCATTCGGCGAATGGCCAGCAGACTGCTTGGCTTTGTTTGGCTCTGTGAGGCCCCAATGAGGCCACAATCATGCGTCACCGCCAATTGGCCTGCCAGACCGTGAAGCCACCCTTGCGAAGGTCGCCCGGAAAGTGAAGAAGGCCTTCCGGTACGCTGACAAGGCCGATCCCCGGATCGCTTTAGTGATGCTTAAGGTTCATGGTTTCAGGACTTGGCCCAAAGCCTTCAGCCGCGAGCCCTCCGAAAGCTCGCAACCTTCAATTTGAAGCTCGCGAACATCCCCAATGGTCAAGCTTACCGCTAAGATGCGCCTCTTATTGCTTATGACCTGCTTGGGTCTTGAACTCGCAATCACCTCGCAGATGCTCAGACCTCACTTTGACCCTGAGGTGGGGGCCGCAAGGATTGCCTTCGTGGCCCCTGACGAGTGGGAGAAGGGTGAGGTCCGTGTGAAGGCATGAGCAGCAAGGGTTGACGTTTTGGCTTGCAGGTTTAGTGGCTAGGGTTCCGGGGCAAGGCCTGCGGCAGCAAAGCCAGCAGTTCAGAACTCATCCTTCGATGACCCTCACAACCCACCGGGCCCACATGTGGTCTCACAGTGCGACCTGCGCCCTGTCTTTCTGCAAGATCAATGTCTTTACGGTCCCAAACACCCAGCCCAGCCTAAGCAGTACTTGTCATCTTTTCACGGCTATCAGGATTTGCGGTGCCCTGCTGACACACCTCCCGAGAAGCGCCCTGGCAAGTTTGGAGAGCAGACTTTGGTTGAGCCGGCACTGGCAGGTCTAGGCCGGTTTGGTGCTCGGGGAGATGGATTGAAAGGGGTTGCAAGAAATTTTGAGACCAGGAAGAACGGGTTTAATTTTCTAGCCCTATTTTTTGGAGCTCTGCTTGTGACGAGGGTGCTCCTTATCGTTGAGACCTCAAGTTCTTAGCCTGCTTTCCGCAGGCCTCACATGATGATAATCGTTTGTGCAAACTGTGGGACATTGTGGGACCTTCCCCAGGAAGCAGATGGACATACCCCTCGACAAGCTGTCGGAGCTGGCCGCAGCCTCAGTCTGAGAGGGCTTCAAGCCATTCAAGCCTGTGAACGAAGGAACCATCGCTCTGCCCAGGACAGCTTCTTTCAAGACTAGTCTCCACACGGTCGCTTGCAGGCCTGGGATCAGGGCTGCATGGAGAAATAATGTTGGCAAAGATGTGTATAGCTTTGAACCTGCGCTTTAAAGCCTTTGAACTTCAAGTGTTGATCCTTGTGCCAACTCGCTACAGCCACATGGCAGCCCAAACCTCGCCTTCACCTTATCTGTTACCTATTACGCTCGCAATTTTCCTGTGCCGCGTGGGCCATCGATGAACCTCGAGCCGGCCAGGGATATCAGGGGCTCAGAGCTCAGGGTATTGATAGGCACAGTCCTCGAAACGGATAGAGATTAGGGCTCAAGTTTTCCGGGGGGAGTTCGTTTCACCGGCCTGTTTCAGCATTTTCAGAATCGATGGCTACTGCGGCCGATTTTCGGATGGCTCACATTCCGTCTGCTGCGAGAGAAAGAGAGTGGCGTGTCAAAATGGGTTCCTAATAACTCGCTCCGATCGCCCCAAACCCTCCACCTTCCCAAGCTTCTTTGAGACATGTTCCCACATCAAGAATCACAAAACAAGTGTCAGGAGTCCAGGAGTCCATATTTATAGGGACTCAGAACCTCAACTAAGGCCTCGGTCCTGCCAGGATATCTCTCCACCTCTTGAAACTGCTCGTGAAGCAGCAGCGCACGTGTAAATGTGTTTGTATGTGCGCATATCTTTACACGGAGACATGAACTTACATTATAGATAGAGACACACGCACATATCATATATCCATTGTTTGCTGATGCATGCAAGGCTTTCTGTATAGCAGAGTATTGAGAAGATCTTGCGACCCTAAACCCTGAACCTGCTGGGCACCCCAGCTGTAGCTTGGAGCCTCAATCTGTATGGATCCTGGCCGCACCATGTTGTTCGGAACAACTTGTTCCCACGATACCGCGACCTTGAATAAATGTTTTTAGAGAGCGCGGATGTCGGGAGCGAGCGGTCTGCAGATGCATTCCCGGTTGGCAGCTGTTGGCCCTCAGCAAGTACTGCCAGCTAGACCCTGGTGCTGCGGCCATTTTTTTCCCTTGCGGGCGACTCGGTTTCGGCTTGGAAATGCTTGGAAGGCAGTTGGAGGTTGGTTTGTAGGATGAGAGACGGAACATATCCAATCTCGGCTCCCCCTCCCTTCAACTGGGTTTACAGTTGTAATTTGCTGCATAGATGGTAATGGACGGCCAACATCCATCCCCGGACTGAAGAAAGAGCCCACGATTTTGGTGTGCATGTGAATTTTCCATCTAAGCGGTCACGTCGCCTGGACATCCCGCAGGGATGTAGTGTGAAATGCCCATTCAGCCGGCCGAATAACATGTCCAGGAGGAAAAAGCTGTCGCCGCAACCTGAAACCCGCATCGTCCTTTCAATCTTAGTCTTGGACCTGCAAACTGCCAAGGAAGCCGGGAAGATGTCAAGCTCCGCACTGCGCCCCGATGGAGAAGGCACACGCTGAAAGGGTCGCAGGGTGCACAAGATTTTATGCAGCATCGTGGCTGTCGCACATTTCCTGTGATGCTTGGGGTTGGGGGACTTGACCCTCCAAAGCTTATGCTGCCAATGTGCTACTCAGCTGTTGGCCTCACAGGCAAGAGCATCTTCGAGCGCTATCTCGGAAAATACGGTGGCTGGGCTGCCACAGCAGGACTCTCCCATGCCCCACAGGTGTCAGACCTTTAAACTTGCAGGCATGCCAGGGCGTAATCTCCATTCAGTGGAGCCTTCGGCCTTGAAATTGAAATTAGGTAGCTTGGCCAGGTGATGCTGTTGGCTTTTGTCAGGATTTACAGCATCATGCAGTGGCCCAGTTCTGCGGCGAATTGTTCTGGGCCTTCTTTTTTCAAGTTGGGGAAGCTCGCTTTCTCGTTTTTCTGGGCACAAAATCGGGTCGAAACCCGGTTTTGAAGACGAGGATGACTTCGTCGAGGTGTTGAAAACGACACACAGTAGAACTTCGTCTGTTTGTCTCTCTTCTATCCCTCTCTTGCTCCTTTTCCCGTTGTGATACAACATGTTTCGAACTAGGTGAGCTGGCTACTTCATGTCGGGTTGCAGCCCAGTGGGGAAAAGCATATCTGCTTGTCCACTCACGCTTGGCGGCAGCAGAGCAAGGATCTCAGCCGCTTACCGTTGTCGCAGGTGAGGGTGTGACTACAGAATACGTCGTTCGAGAGGTGCTTCTCGGCATCCTGGCAGCAAGGTTTGTAGCACATGGGCAGACCCTGCAGGCAAGCTCTTGAGGCTAACAGGGTTCGGCTAGTAGACGACTCAGCTCCCTGTGTGTCCTGCCGGATGCGCCGAATCTGTAGAGCATTTCACGGGCGAACTGTACCGCAGTTAACGTCCACGACATCTGAAATAGGCAAGTCGCTGAAGCGAACCCACCGACGTGTGCTTAAAGCCTTGCCGTAGCGCGCTTCTGTGGTGATGTCGGGTGGCCGAGAGGTGAATCAAATCATGCTACCGCAAGAAGGAGGCACAAAGAGAACGCGTGCCCGGTCATCCAGGTGTGACGATCTGCTTCGCCCAAATCCCAGAATCAGCGCCTTGGCCACGCAATGACCAGCCGGTACGATGCATGTGGGCCGCTTAGTTCCCAAATCAGGGTTCGCAAATAAAGACTTTGCTGGATGGACGGGTTCTTATCGGTGGGCTTGGGAACTACGATTTTCTTCTCGGTTCACGCAGTTAGGAGTTCCAAGCTAGAGCTTCGGAGTTGAGGTCAGTACGCATGTAAAGGCACTGCCGTTTCTAATGAAAGCTACGCGACTCCAATCATCGCCATCGTCTCTAGCGGACTTAAATGTCTCCTCGAACCACAATCGAGGTGGCCTTTGCCTTCATGGCGCAGCACTGAGCTGGGATTTAGGGTTGGGGCACCGGTGCTGTTTTGGGCAGTCATCAGTCAGAAGGAATTTATCGCACGGCCTCGCTGTGACCGAGTGCAATCAAACCACAAGGCCAACATCAAGCCCCCGATTGCTTTGCACGCCGCCTGGATAGTAGGCCGCGTGTCTGCAAGGAGACGCCGGCGCCGGCGCTTTGGGTTTCGGGGTGCGGGACCCGCGCTCGCGGGATAGTTTCGAGGGCCATCCGAAGGCTGTTATACCTATAGGGCGTGTCGAGAGCTCCTCCCACACTGTCAAAGCATAAGAAGTCTTCCAAGGTTTCATTTGCAGTGCTTTCGGTGGCCGACCTGGGATGGTCAACGGCGCGGAGCCGAGCTTGTTTGTGGCAGCGACAACAACTGCACCTGTTCTATTGCTGGTGCGGCTAGTGGCTGGGGACAGGTTTCCTAGTTCTGGGGGTTCGGACCCGTTTCCCCGGTCACCTACTTCAGGATCCTGTGGTTTCTGTAGGGTTTAGGGTTGAAGATGTGGTTTGCAGCAATTTTTCAGCTTCGGGATTGTAGCATCTGCAGGTGCGACTGGCGCTTTCGCGGCTATTGCCCCTTGGTGGAGGGTGGCCAGCTCAAGCCTTTTGTTGGCGGAAAGCCTCGTCCTAATTGTCCCTGCTAAAAGGTGAGGTAGGACATGTTAGAGCCAGCAAGGAGGAACCTCCACTGAGAGGGACGGGCATGTTTTTTTCAGGTCAAGCCACTTACGAACCGAAAGCCATAAATAGGCCGCAAAACAGAGCGTTAAATCCACACCAGAAGAGTATTGCATTCCCTGGGTCCTGAGATTGGCACCTTCATCCCGCCGGCTGGAACGGGCAACAATGGCGAGGGAGTGGAGCTGCTCTTCCCCTCAGCCACTTGGAGGGTCAAAAGGATCTTGGGAGCCGCACCCAGACGCACGCACCCGCACGCAGGCGCCTGATTTTGAAAGTGTCTTAGGTGCCTTTGAAAGTTTCAAGTGCCTCAATTTGAAAGTGCTGAAGTGCCTTAATGTGGTAGCGTTTTAAGGGCCTCAATTTGAAAGTGCTTCGCATCCCTCTATTTGACAGTGTTTAAATGCCTCAATCTGAAATTGTTTCAGGTGCCTCAATTGAAAGTGCTTCAGAAGTGTCAATTTGAAAAGTGTTTGAAATGCTTCAGTTTTAGTTTGAAAGTGCTTACGAGTGCTCGCTCCCCCCCCCCCCCGGCTATGCTGCACGCAAGAAGAATGTAGCGGTACACTTACAAGTTGCCAGCTCCAGATCCCGTACCTCCGCTGCCAGGTGATGCTTGCCGGGCTCCTCATGGTGGTTGTATCCGTGACAAAGCTCTCTCGCTTCATCACACTGCTGCATGGCGAGAAATTAACGGACTGAGCGTCGAGGGTTCACGCTTTGGGCAGAAGCCTATTGCGAAGTGGGATTCAACTTCTTGGTGTAAGGTTTGTTTGTGTTGGGCGCTTGTCATGCTTGTTCAGGGTTGAGCCCCCGTCAGGATCGACATTCGAGAGGTCTTTAGCAGTGCACAGCAACTCATAGCAGGGCTGTTGGTTTCAATTTGGCCCTGGGCGCTTAGCGTTTTTCGGGGCTTTTGGGCCGAAGCCCCGAAGAGCCGAACTCTTTCCCCGCCAAGGCTGCCGTCACCAGATTCTCGGCCGGAGCACAGAAGGGAACTGCAGAACAAGTTATGAAGAATTAAGACTCAGAGCCCGATCAAATCCGGAGACGTGGGCCAGAACTTGATGTTCTTAAGGCCGCTAGGCGACACTGTTGGCTATGTGGGCACAGGACGTAGAATGAAGGATGCATCATCTTTTTCAACATTCTTCGTAGTTGGCGTGCATTGAGCGGCACACTAGGGCTGCTGGGTGTCGGGCTTCCCCAAAATTAGGAATGTTGGATACCACATGCCCCTCGTTTGTTGAGAAACATACTTCAGCCTTCAAGGACTGCTGCAAAACCTTCGATGTTGGAGGCTTGACCCTAAACTCGCACGTATAGCCAAAGCAAATTTAACGACACAATCTAGTCACCTGAGCCCCCCATATAAGGCCCCTGGCAAGCCTAAGGCTCCTTCAACGAATCGAACGGTGCCGTCCAGCATAGTCCAGCTAATCAGAAGCCATCCTGCTCGCCTTTATTCGGACTCATGGAACCACGAAGTATCTCCAGTCTGCTTTTCCGCTAAACGCATGGCTTGGGGGTTCAAGTGGTCTAAGGGATTCAGGGATTCGAGAGAGAGAGAGAGAGAGTGTCCCAACAGCGCATGTGAGGTCATGCTGGGCTTCTGCAACGGCCTGGCCATCGTCATCGGCTTGTCCCAGCTGCATCCGTTTGAGGACCCTGTGCCTGGGCAGTTTTTGGGGGGTTGGGGTTTAGGTGGGTTTCGGTTTTGAGAGGTGACCTTCCCACAGAAGTATTCCAAGCGGCTTTGACATCTGGCTTGCGATCTGAATTCGGTTTGGTTAGAGTTCCTGCCTGACAGATCGTGCAGTGGATGCGTTTTGCACAGTGACACAGATGACACTCCCAGTTCGTGCCCCCTGCCATACACACCCGAAGCAGCGTGAAACCCTGGCACCCTCAGGCCCCAAACCCGCCTGAGGCCCTGAAATGCTGAATTCAGCACTACTTTGCACCCGAACTCCCCCGAGCACAGCCCTGGAGCCCTTGAGCCTGCAAGCCCTAGAAATCTCAACTTTAGAGAGTCTCTGTGATTCTAAGGTGACCCACCACTGGAAGGAGGGGCCGGAGATGATTTGGATGCTGGTGCCCTGTTTCAGAAGAAACATTGGGGGGGGGGGGGGGGGGATGTTTTTCCAGCTAGACTTTGCCTTTAGACTTTGCCTTGAGGGTTAAAGAGGACCTTCAGGACCACCGGCCACTAGCAGTGGCCCTGGAGCAAGGGCCAAGGTCAACTCACTCCCACAGCTGCGATCCACAACGCCTATGGCCAGAACACATCTAAATCGTAAGCGTTCTTCAGAGCTCAACTCAACCCAATTTGCCGTCCTCTGCTTGATATTGTAGATGCGGGCTACTAGTACTTAGCAGGCCGAACTCAGAATAACGCTGAACGGTAGAATTCCGTGCGGCGCCGACCCCGATGCGCTCTCCCCGCTGCCCTCCAAATCCTAGAGCAGTCTCAAGGTTATCTGCTTCTCCAGCATGATTGTCATGGAGTTCCTGCCCAAGACACTCGTTCTTGTTGTGGCGGTTTCCAGCTTTGCTTCAAAGGCCTTCACGCCCCAGACTCTGATTCAATTGCGTGCCCTTCCGAGTGCCGACCTGCCTACTCATACCAAGGTGATCTAAGGTGCATCAAGAGTTGGCAGACTTCCACCCCATAGATGCCATAGAGAGCAAACACCGAGCGGACAGGGTGAGTGAGTTCATGCGATCAGGGGGGCTAGCCAGGGCCAAAGCCGGTAAATCCTAAATACGGGCCATTCTTCATGAGGATACCGTTGAAGATCTTCAAAGTCATCCCTTCGTCGCTGTTGGCGATCATCACGGCCATCGTGATCGAGCAGCCTGTCTTCGCCTGAACATGCTGTGTAGAATTAGAACCAAAAACCCTAAGCAACCTACAGCAGCCTCGCACGTGTGGCTGAAACCCAATTTAAATCTTGTCGGGGAAACGTGAGTCAGCAGAGCTCAGAATTGCATCTCAACTGTGTGGGCCTTGCTTGCCGCGGCGTGGTCCTGCAAACGTGAGTGAAACCAGAAAGGGTCATGAGAATGATTGCTGAAGGTTTTCGTTAGGCATGACGCCTTGCGCCTTGCGCCTTGCGCCTTGCAAATTAAATGCTCTCTGTCTGCCCTCGGTCCCAACATGAGCGCAGCCCTCGGTTCCAGTGACGAGTTTGGCCCCTTGAGGCGTGCTTGTCGCAAACAGTTTAAATTCCAGAAGGGGAAAGCTGAAGCGCGGGAAGGTTTGAGTAAAGTTTAAGTACTGCCTGAGCCTACCTCAAGAGACCAAGTGTATTTGTAGTAGATGCACAGAGTACATGTTGTAGAGCAGAAGGAGTTGGAGAGCAAACTTTCCTCACAACCCATTTTTGACAAGTGGTGAGCAGGTTCGCAATCGTGCGAAGCACCGGCTCGAGAACAGACTCTTGGCCCAATTCTGCCCGATCTAATTGCAAACATCCGGTGCATGTTGCTGAAACATTGAGTCTGTTGCTGTTTTTGCGGTCCTGGCGGCTACAGGGTTTGGAGTGGTCATGACTTGGGACATGGGTTCGGAAAATGAAAATTTCAAGTACAGTGGATTCGGGGTCTAGGGTTTAAGGGTTCACCAAGCCTGGATGCAAAAAAAGGGTTAAGGGTTTAGGGTCGAAAGCAGTGGCTACCCGAAACCCTCAAGCCGAAACCCTCCTCGGTAGACCCCGCAGTGCTGTGGCCAGTCGGCTAGCAAAAAAAACCCTCCTGAACCCTCAACCCTGACTAAACCCTAAAAGGTTCGCTAAAAGGGGCTGCTCTCAGAAAAGCCCCATGGAGTCCATGGGGCCCCTCAGCGGTAAAGGGCCAAGAGCGGGACTTTGGTGTGCCTGTCAGTGCCCACAGGTCATGTCAGAGGAGCCCAACATTCCCCTTGCGGTTTAGGGTTTTGAGGGTTTAGGGTTTAGGATGGTTTAGGGATGAATGTCCTCTCCAAGTGCCCTTTCAAGCTGTAATTTCAAAGGCCACCATTCGTGACGTCAGCGAGTTCACGCTCGACACCGCTCCAGCCTCAGCTGTAGTGGGTTTTCAATTCAACGCAAAACAAACCTTAAGCGGCAAGCCCTACAACTGCTCCCTCATTCCACTTGAATTTGAGAGGAGCATTGCCCCGTGTACTTGGTACTTCTCACTTCCAACCCGCCCAAATCTTAAAACGCTTATTGTAACTGTGGGGCTCAGGGATGAAGATCGATGTCCCTGAGCTCGGCAAAGATGACAACCCTGAACTCCAGGGCTTCGGGAAGCACATTTCACTCACGAGTCATGACATGTCGTCGTGCCTTTTAAGCGTCGAAACATTTCACTCCGGCTCAAGAGGGCTTAGAAGCCCCTCACACAAGAACCCAGAATCCTCAAACTCGAAACCCCCAAGCCCGAGAACAGTCCCGAGGCTTTTCCAATTCCTTTCTTTGTCAGCACGGCTATTTGGCTGCAGACGTACGGAGGAGGTTTTTGCAAGCTGTGAGGCGCGTGACAGGCACTTCATCAGATTCAACCGGTTCAACCGATTCTTTTCAGGATGGGGAGCGGCTGTTGTCTGGTGCATGTTGCTGCTCACTCGAGGACGCCGTGAGCTACAACCTGAGCAGCATCTTAACAGGTGATGGCATTTCCAAGATCATTATCCAGGCCATAGTCAGTGGTTTAACCACTTGATGGTCAGCGGGGCATTGCATATTCCGACGCAAGCTGTTGGTCGCATGCGCTCCTAATTTTTGTGCCTGCTCACATGGGCCTTCAGAATAAGAGAGAAAGAGAGCTCATCACCAACCTTCCATGCTACCAGATGCGCTCATGACAAGTTCCTTGGTGTTTGCGGATTCTCACGCGGCATTTAGGGATTGTGCTCGCAAAGACGGTGTATCCAAGAATGAAAGCATCGCTTCCGGCGAGCACCGGAGAAAATCAAGCTGAACCTCACCTTGCCAGGGGATCTTCTTGTGCCTCGTGGGCTCTATCGAGTCACTGATGACAGCCGAGGTCCCGAGGGTCCATGGAAGGGGATGGTTGGTTAGAGAGGCTTGAGACCCGGCCCTTTGGCCGTTGTGCAAAGCCCCAAGGGTTCAGAGGAAAGTATTGCGACGGGCGCTGTTTGCGAAGCAAGCCCTAAACCCAACACGACAGCTTCTTGGAGTGAGAGACTCTCTGTTGGCGACTAGTTACTGCCACGCCATGCCCTTATCTCCTCCTTGAGCAGCCCCTACGCCGTGAGGTCGTTGAGTCCTTCACCAAGGAGCAGCCAGGGGGAGGGGCAATTGCTGAAAGTCTTCCGGCTAGCGGTTTCAGGTGTTGGGGTTTACCATTTTCAAGTCGCCGACTGGTGTATCCATTCAGAGTCTAAGCTGGTTTGGGCTCAGGGGGGTCACATTTTAACGACCGTGGCATGGCCTGCACGAAACTAGTCTGGCGAGCATTGTCAAATCGCATCCAACGTGGCGTACAACAGCAATTTGTCAAACACACACAAACACATACATACATCATGCATGCATACATACAGATGTACTGTATGTATAAAGTTTAAACAGTGAAAACAAGTGAGGGTTGAACCTCCGTTTCACAAACAAACAGACCTGACATGCCTCGGCTACGAATGCTTTTCCCATTAAGAATGCCTTTCTCTGTTGCGGTTCGATAAGTTAACAGGTAACCGTATTTGTTGATCTATCTATTCGTTATAGTTTTTGGTGCACAACACTGAAAGTTCACATTGTTTCATTCATGCATACATACATGCTACCCCTCCCCCTCCCATGGGACTTCCATTGTAAGATGTCCTTGGTTGCGATGCGACAGCACCAGACGTCTTGTTCTTACTAAACGATAAAATGGCAGGTCCCATCTTCTTTCATGCGGAAACGGACTTTCTTTGCTCTTGCTGGTGGCACCAAAGACTGGTCGAATACTGTCTGTATGCTCATGGCTCAGGCACAGGGCGAAAAGGCCGGGGCCCAACAGCTACCTGTCCAGCCTTTGTCCACCTCGCACGGGACTGTCGCGAAAAATCCTGACCAACCCTGGATCCGACCTGCGTTAGAACTTTCGCGCAACATGTAAAGTCGTTCGTGGTATCTTTTGCCAGTCCTCCGCGGACCAATGTTAAGGGGCTATGAAGGGCACAACGAAAGAGGATAAACACAAAGCCCGAAGCCTTCCCCTCGCCCCCACAGCGCCCAAACAAAAGAAGAACACAAATTCAACAACGAAGAGGAGCCCGGGAATGGTGACCGCACCGTTATGGCCATGGGGGCGGCCAACGTGCTCAGCGGCTTCCTGGGTGGCATGGGCGGCCGATGAGATGCAAGTTGGATATGCCTCGAGGGCTCTGGGGGTGCAGGGTTGAGGCATTGGCGAAGCAGTCCTAAAGACAAGCCTGTACAGTAGCTGTTTCGGGGTTTGAGGGACATCGCGAGTTTTGCGAGATTTGCCGGGTACTATATCTTTCAAGGTTGGGGGATTGGTCTGGGGTGCTCCTTGTTGTCTCAGTCATGTACATCAAAAAAGCCTTTTGCGTGGGTGTTTATTCGAGCACAGGTCGATTTCGATGAACCCGAACTTCCGAACACTGAGACGGTGGAGCGGTTTGGGTGTGTTGAGATGTGTTGCCTCTGGCAAGGCAATGCTATGATCGGCTTGTCAACGGTGAATTGCCTCAACGGCGGCAAGGGCCGGCTGGGTCCATGCGTGGCCTGGCCACCCCTTTGATTGAGTGAATTTGGGGGGGTGATTTGTGTATATTTGTGTGGTCAGGGGGGTCTGAGTTTCGGGAGGCTCAGGCAGGGTCGGGCTGTTGAACTGTTGAAGGTGTTTGGGGTTCGAAAGGGTTTGGGAGAAGGGCAGCTTGAGTAGCGGGAAGCATTGATCATGCAGCTCCCTTTCGCTAAAGGTCACAGCTCTGGGCATCATGGCCTGCGTGATGGGCCGTGGCCTTACTCAGAAGCTCTGGCGTCCAGTTGTGGTTCATCTGCCTGAACGTTTGTCCTTTGGCTTTCGGTATTCCGGAACCGAGTGGTCAGGTGCATATCCGCTTCTCAACTTCATCCCCGTGGCCGCCCTCGCAGGCATCATGCTTGTCGTGACGGGGCCGCAGCTCCCAACTACTGCTTGACCCTGAAGCCGCCCCAAACCCAGAAACAACACAAGCCGGACCCAAGCCCTGACCCCCTCGAATCTAAGGGCTTCTTCCAAGGCCGCGAAAACCGGCAAGGTGAACACAACAGAGGGCAAGTAACATCAAGTAACGGAAGCCCGGGCTGGGTTTTCCGGGTTTGTGGAAGATGACCACTGGAAGTGCCAGACGTCTAGCATCGCCCAGGTGGTTCTGCACACCTTCAAGCAGCGTGGCCATGAACAAATGCTTGTGGCAATTACATGGATGTGCCCTCACATTCCAGCCATAAACCGTGCAGAGGGCTCTAAGAGACGTCAGCCCTTTGACTACCCAGCTTCGGCTCGAAGCCCCTGCGCCTCATCGACCCTGAACCTTGCAGGTCCAGGCTTGCAATCTTCGAATTAATTAGTGTTGAAATTTTAAGAGAACTTCAGGTGGTTTACCATCCCGATGATCCTGGCCGCATTCCTCCCCAAGAGCATGCGCGAGAAGCTGGGCCTGCAGCGAAAGGCGCGTTCGTGGCGCTGTAGGAAGGCAAATTTCCAGAAACTCTCAAGCTGACAGTTCTGGTCGATCCTCGGAGACAGTGCAGTCCAAGCCCATCGCATCCCGAAGCCGAGAGTCGAAGCTCCTAAGCCACGCGCACAGAGGTGCCGCGGATAGATGCCATGGTCATCATCGTGGTGACGCTTGGATACAGAAGCCGCCCCACACTGAAATGTCGAAGATTTTGTCCACCTGAGTTTTAGTTTTGCGTCGGCTGCTGTGACAAGCCATCTTCATAGCTTGGTTTTGTGCTCTTGCTTGTGATGCCATGTGCATGTTTTTTTGTTTTCTGGACGGTCGAGCATTGCATGCAAGACGCATGATGTCTCGAAGTGCGAAAGACCACTTTTCCACCGGGGTCAGAGCAAGAACAAGAACGCTTGCGATGTGCTCTGCTTGAAACCAAACCTTGTAGCAGTGATGACCATTCCGTCCGAAGTAGCTTTGGGCTGAAGGCTTGTTGAAGCGTTCTAGAGCTCAGGCTCGTTAAGATGGCGAGAATGACACTGTTGTCCCTTGCTTTCTCCTTCGTTGGGCTTTGCTTGCCGCTGGGCTGCGTGTCAGCTTCTGTGGCTGACATCGCAGTTGCCCTGAATGATTGCGAGGAGTGCGAGGCTGGCTTGCACGTGCTTCAGCACCGCGCCGGCCTCCAGACGATTCTGCCGGGTTCCTGGCAGGCCAAGGTCACAGTCACTACGGAGAAGCGGAACTACTCTCAAACCTGGTGGTACGATGCTGCGAATCAGCGTTTCCGGGCGGACCAGTACGGAATGTTCGCGATAAGCGATCTCCTCTTGCCCACATCGCAGTTTAACTACAACCGCTTTGGTACTTTGGGAGCGGGTGCTGAAGCAAACGGCATTTTCTTCTGATGCCAGAAGAAAATCTCAGCAGCCCTTTTCAGTGGCTGCCTTCAGCAAAGCGCAGCGGCAAGAAAACACTCGACGGAGAGCAGTGTGCATCTTGGACTTGGACCGTCCCTTCAACAAGTTGGCTCAGCGACCCCTTTCTGGACCCAATGCCGTTGGTTGGAGGTGCTATCCAGCCTGGCACCACGGTGTCAGTGTGCTTGGCAGATGGAGTGCGCGGGAAGTCACTGTCTCTTCGGAAAGTGTCAAAACCAATTTCTCAGTCTCCGACATCAAAGTGGGGCCGATACCTGCCGACGTGTTTGACCTGCCCAGAGCATGCAGGGAGAAGATGGAAAGAACTTGTGGTGAAGGCCAGATTCAGCATCGTGGAACTGTATCGCATCCATGGCCAAAAGGAAGACATATCGGTAGTGGATCGAAACTTTGCTGATGCAGACGCGTCAATGCACTTGCTCTGTAAAAGCTCCTTTGTGCTCCGATCAGACACGCAGGTGCCCGATGACATCATCACTCATTGGACAATTCTCGCAAACACATCTTGGGGCCTCTACCGAAAGTGTTGGTTCCGGAAGGGCCAGAACCTTTGCGAAGACCATGGCCGAGCGATCGGGCGGCAGCCTGCCCTCATGCCACATCAGCAGGGGCAGATGGGTGAGTTTCAGGGCCAGTGTGGAGAAGCGAAAGGGGTGTGGTATTCAGTGCCGTCCACCGGCAGATGCCCAGACACCCACATAACGGAGAGTTGCTCGTGGGCTGCACCAGTGCACAAGACCAGTGTGAGTGCAGCCTGCATTGCAGAGTACGTGTGTGGCAAAGCAGGGGTCCCAGCCGCCGAGTTCAAGGCACTCCTGACCAACGGAACCTGCCCCGAAGTGTTGTCTTAGCAGGGCTTGCACAAGGATCCCCGGGGCCGTTCAGGCCAACGAGTCAGTTTGCCCCCTAGGAAAATTACGGAAATTGCTGTACTTAGGTTCTAGAGCAGACCTTGTGAATGTGAATTGACAGTAATGTGCGCGCAACAAAGTTTCCATGATCCGTTTCTTGGGGTTTGCTGGGTGTTCAATCTAGCCTGGGCTGGGAGTGTAGCTTTTGTGTGGTTTGCTGTTGAAGCCGGATGGCCTTTCCGCGTTTGGACCCTCCTATCCTCAGGGCGTCATAGAGCATAGTCTGAAGAAGGGGATGCGCTTGTGCAAGTTGTCAAAACACATTCTTCTCGCCAATGGTGTACTGTATGTGCATGCATCAACTGACATGTGTAGCTGCAACCATCCGGAACCGCTGTAGCAGCCTAGGACGATCTTGTGCAAGTGGCCTGCAGGTGCGCTTGGGTCTGGTTGGAGCCACCCCAGGAAAATGGTGCTAATAACAAGACAAACAATGTCAATAGTGCTGCCTGAGGATTTTCTGCTTTGCGGCCTGTTTGGGCACAGGGGTTGGAGAGCGGGGGAGGAGGGGATCAACAACCGTGCTGGCTGCCGATTGCTCTCGGGCGGCACGCATAGGCTTCAGCAGCAGTTTATCAGACAAGCAGAGACATGCCACAAAGAGTACCTCCTTTGAATGGTACGCTAGGGTATCCAACCTGAAGCTTCATGTTTGCACACCCCGAGAACGACACGATAGGGTCACTTGGCAGGCACCAATATCGCCGTGGCTGTGGGTGTGGGGGTGGCCATTTGCTCGGTGTCCTATGCATGGACATCCGCAGACACGCGCCTTTGTTTGCGTTTGGAGTTTGCTTGGGGAGTTAGGCGTTGCCAGCAGCTTCCGTGTTTGGACGACCTGGCCGAGTGCTGGGTAAATTTCTCGGGCTTCGCGCTGAATTGTTCATTGCCTCAGTTTCCAGCTTCCATCTAAACCCGCAAGGACCTAGAAACATCCCAGCAACAAGCTGGCAAGCACGGAGTCGCTGCAGACAAAACAAGAGACACAAACCGGATGGCCCAGGTTCGAAGTCATCGTGTCTGAGAAGGAAGATTTGACCCTTGGTTTTCCTGGACCAAGTACGTGTTCTGCTGCATCATTTGCAAGGAAGGTGCGGCAGGTCGTTGGTGGTAGAAGCTTAGGCGCGGATAACTTGTCATGTCTTCAAGGAGTTTGTTGCTTGGAGCTGGCGGTGTGCTGCTTAGGGCGATAGCGACACATTTTGCCGAAAACCACGCAGCAAAGACGAGCTCGCACGCCCTAGACTGCGACAGTCAGTGTACGAGCCCAAGGAAGCAGTACTTCATTCACGGGCCTTTCTTTTTCACCTCTGCCAATCGCTTCCTGCCGCTTGGCCATTGGAAAAGGAGGCCTGCAAGCTTTGCGGTTCACAAATGGAATTATGTGGCGCTGGCTTCGGGGTTCTGGAGGCCTGTGGTGCAAAGGGCTGTTTGTCGGGTGGCCTCCGGGCCATGCGTTCATAGCATGATTGTTTTTTTTTCGAGGTGCCAACCTTTCGAGGACCTGCTCTGATGTAAGTTTAGGCGCTCAAGGTGTAGCGGCTTGGCACAGACGCCTACCAGACCACTGGCCCATCAGTCCATCATGCCAAGGAAGATTTTGAATGCGGATGAGGACCCGGAGAAGGCCCATGCTTAGACACAGCATCACGCTGTCGTGTTGGTTTGTGGTTTCCGGCTTTCGGACTTTTTGGCGTCAGGGCTTCGAGCCTACAGAAATGGTTCGAGTTTGAGCCCCAAATTTTGAGAACCCAACAGCAGTCCGGACCAGCTGTTTCATTACCTTCTGGGATATGGGTTCTTGTCTGAAAGTTTATCGCATTCATGCTACCTTGCTGGGTTTCTATATGCGTCCGTAGAGTGCATCCTAGTAACTATACTCAAGCCTTGCGGCAAAGCCCTTGCACGGGGAGGTTGAAGTCGTCTTCTCCGAAGCCACATCCTTGTTCGACTACTCGGCTATGCAGGTGGGGAAGCCGGTTTTTGAGTCTCGGACAGCTCAGCTGAGCAGCACGTAGCATGGAACTCCCCAGATTGAAGCCAAGAGCCTGGCACGGTCTCAAGGTTTGGTGTTGCATGGCAAGGCCTAAAAGGGCTCCAACGAGGGCTGGCGGCTGCTCCTACTGTAGTCCTACAGTAGCACAGGCATCTGCAAGAATCTGTGAATTTGGGGCAGGGCTGAAGCGCCACGGGACTGTTGAACCAAGCCATGCATGTTGCAGGCCATGAACAAGGTCAGCGCTGAGACCCTCGGACTGTGTCGGTGAGAGTCTTTCAGAAAAACCCGTAACCCGAAATTGGTATTCAGACAAAATCACCGACCCTGTGCTTGACGAAGCTGCTTTATGGGAGCTCAGGATAATTGCCCATCACATGTACTGCCTGAGTCGGGGGGGAGGGGGAGAGGGCTCCGCGTTTGGTATTGAAATGATTCTTCTACACTCAAATGAAGAAAGACCCTGAATCTCTAAAGCCGAACCGACCCAGCACCTGGGGGATATGATATGCTCTCCAAGGTACAAGTCCAAGGGTAAACAGATCGTCTTCAAGTCCCTGTGCTCGAAGAGCACCAAACTTATCAACAAGGCGCATCTGGGGGATGATGGGACGACGGGCATGAACCCCCAATGACTCATGACCCTCCTTGTGGGGTTGTTCTTGCTGAACCTCACCCAGCTTCTAGGAATTGCGAGAATGTGCCTCGAGCTTGAAGCCCCTGCTGTAGCCATCAGTGTCAATTTCCGACTCTCTTCCCAGACTTGATGCGAGGCCTCGCACTTGATGTCGCAGCCTCGGTCAGCCAGGGACGTCTGCAGTCGTGCACAGAGTGCAAGGAATTCTCCAGCTGGGATTTCAGCTGTGGGCTGTGTGCGATCTAGTGTTCCACTGGCAGCCAGGTGCTGTAGCACGCTTTTGATAGGGACAACTCTGGAAAGGTGTGGCATCGGCTTCTACGGGCCTGGGTAAGGACTTCCCAACAGAAAGGGTTCTAGCCAGTACAGCCACGAAAGTGCTTGACCAGTGCTTACTCCCATCCCCGCCCTCATGAAACTCCGACTCGAAAAACGCTAATTTGGCATCATTCTGAGTTGGTTCAACTCGCATCTTGATGACTGCTCCTCAGCACCTTGATCAGATTGCTAGCGTGTCCAGAAGCACCAGCAATGTCGAAGGATTCCGGTTCGAGTGTCAGCACAGAGTCAGCACGGTGTAGCTGTTCTCAAGACGGAGCTTTGTTCTGGAAAGGTCCGAGACGGAGTACACGGAGCGAGATATGGAGGCGGCGGATGTGTAGTAAACCAGTTCCAACTTCCGCGTTCCATTCTCGTGTTTAGCCTCTTGGTCCCTTTCAACAGCTGTGGTACAGTTGTGGTGCTGGTACGGTTCAGAGGTTGGTTAGTTTCAGGAGGGGAAGCGTGGAATCGTTACCTCCGAAGCGAGCTGTGACTCCACACTCTGAACGAAGAAGCTTCAGCCTGACCTGAGCCCTGCGTATCGAGTTGACTCCTCTCAAAATCCCGAGTCCATGAAGTCGTTCAACATTCTTGTTTTAACAATCCAACCCAAAGCACCTCAAAGGACGACTGCGGTTTAGGTGTTCAAGGTGCTTGTTGCAGTAAACCTGGATATGCTGCTTGTGGTTTGGAGTTAGTTCTTTCAAGTGGCCCAGTACAAACATGATGGATTGAACGGGTGGTTTCAGATGCATCGCAACATCACCTCCAATTCTCTTGCATTCCATTAAGATGCGTCAAGAAGACCCCGAGACTGTTTTCATATCTCGCCGTCTCACAATCTCCACCAACTTCGTTTCGCTGGCAAGTCCGCAGAACTGCAGTCCAACGCCCACCAATGCCAAACAGCCCCGACTGGAATGTGTTGGTACTCTCAAAGTGACTGCACTGGACTGCGCCAAGGCACCCCGAAAGGCCTCCATGCCTCCCACCCTTTTACAAGCCATTCAACGGAGCTGGTGCAGCACAACCATATACAGTCATCAAGCTATACAATCATCAAGCTTGTCAAAACTCGGAGGCACTTGAAGCTGCCAAGCTGCCAACTGCGGGATTGGCCACGTTAGGAAGGGTGATGTTTAAGGAGCTTTCGCTAACATGAGCTGCCAAGATCCCCAGGCCTTAATATGAAGACCCCACACCCAAGCCTTTCTACACTCGCGAAAGCCCAGCGGACACGTCGGATACCGTCGAAGCTTCAAGTTTTCTTAGAATGCTTCTAGCAGTGGAGGTGGCTGACCTGCACGGCGTGGAGTGGGGTGGCGGCGATCTGCCTGAGGCTTCACACGTTTGTGGACGACAAGCGCGTTGACAGGGTTCCATGTTTTTAGAGTTTGCAACAGCCAGCAACATCCAGAATGTCATTCTAAGTGGCCATGTAATTGACTGGGCTGCTACGTTTCGACGTGTTTTGACTGCCTGCACCCACCGTAACTTCACGTGCTATGCAGCGGCAGTCTGAACTCTTCTTGAGTCGACACAGTTGGTGTCGATGCTGCACGGGATCTTGGGCAGTCAGAGACAGATGCAGCTCGACTGACAGCGACCACTGTGGACGCGGGCCCATCACAGATGACATGTGCACAGACCTTCTTCATTAAATGCTTGGAACATCATTGGGATCGAGCACGAGTGAAACGTCGTTGCCGACGGAATCAGAACACACATCTTGCTAGCGTATTAAGAGCCGTGAGAAGTTTCGGGCTTCACATTCCAGCATGGAGCTTCTCGACATGCGTCAGTTTAGCTCCATTGCCATCATTAAGGCTAGACATGTGACCGTGCGGAATGAGCGTTTGCCCTGTAAACAGACAGGTAAAGGTGCATCAATGTCGTGTAAGTTCCCACACCTCTAGCTTCGGATGCAGCTCTCGCCAACAGGGGGGTGAGCTCGGGCATGCACTTTCCAGGCGCGTGGGCGCAGTACGGAAGGGGGTTTGATTGTTTGGTTTGGAGCTGAGCTTGGCTGGTGCTGAAGGCTCCGGTGTGTACATGCTGAGTTGCGCTTCACATCGGGTGTTGGGCGCTGCTGAAACCCAAGTTGAACAAATCCAAATGTCAGTCTAGTAGGGTGGCACTTCACTGGGTGAAGGCCTGAAATTGAAAACCTGCACCCTTCTCCTACAGATCCAGGGAGACAGGGAGAGAGGGAGAGAGGGAGAGAGAAAGAGAGGGAGGTCCCATCTGTGTTCGCTTGAAACAATGAAGAGCTTGACGAGCCAAGCCCCGGCTTCAGGTTTTCATCTTCACCTTCTCAAATCCGACCCACAGTATATCGCCAGCTTCCAAAAACAAGGCTTCAAGAAGGGTACCGAATGGAGCAAGCTCAAATCGAAAGCAGTGTTGCAGGAGTCCTCAAAATTTCAACTCGTCGGCGATGCCAACGAACTCCCGGAACCTGAAACTGTAGAAGAGCCAATCGTCCGAAAAGCGCAACCCGAGGTACGGGCTGCCGAGCCTGCAGCAGCAGCCTGGCTCCCGCAACGGAACGAAAGGCAATCCTTGGGGGCTTTCAGGGACGATGGGCCACGGCAGCCGTGAGAAGCTCTCGGGAGCCTCAAGGTTCAGCGTTGAGTCTTTGCGCGGCACTTGGAGTTGGGGGGCGTTTCAGAGTCTGGGACATGGCCCACGACCCAACGGCCTCAAGCTCCGGGTCTAGAGTCCAGGGTGCCGGAGGGTTTGGAGCGTTGCAGCCAACATTGCTTCGATGCACGCAGAGCATTCCGATATCTCATGGCAACTTCTTGATATTACCGGCCTTTCAAAATGTTGTAATCCGAAATCATAAACTTGAAAGAGAGAGGCCGTTTCCTGATGTACAAGTAGCTGCTAAGTAGCTTCGTTCTCAGTGGCGTCCTGACGGATCTAGAGAGTCCGGAGCCTTGAAGATGGTGTGCAGACGCGAGCCGTACCGTGTCGGTGTAGGGTTGGGGGATTGCGGATACTCGCGGTGCGGCGATGGCCAGACTCGGCGCAAGTCGTGAGCGCGAACGACCTGACAGTGGTCGTGGGCAACGTGAACGAGGCCGCTGACATTCTCAAGGCCGGGCTTTGGCAATTGTGGAGCGTACGACTCCCATCAATCGCCTGTTCAATTGTCAGCAGTCCTAGTCCTAGCACTTGCCCAAAGAGCGCCACTTGAGAGTCCTGTCTGAAGATTCTGAAGCCTAAATATCTGAAAAGCTCAGCAACAAAATTCTACAGAGTCGCGACAGGAGCCGGCTCGGTCGCCCTCCAGGTCCAGACGCACGCCGCTGGGCCGCATCTTGGAACCTTCATCAAACTCTCGCTGCACATCTCTTTGCACCTTTTGCTCACACACTCCTTTCAGCGAGCAAAGGGATCGGCCTGGATTGATGCTGCCATCTGTCGCCCCTCACCCCGGAGTCTACCCCCATTGTGTCAGTTGGACACCCGCGCTTGCTTGCATACTGGTGTAATCTGGTGTCTGAGACTTTGGCTCTAGCTAGATTTGAGGGCCCGCGGAAATGCCCACAAAAACAACATAGTTGCGTGTAGTTCCAAAGCCCTGCGCCTGCACGGCAGGCCTGGCTGCATCGTCATATGCCCTTGCAGCTCTCCCATCTGATCCGGCGCGGGGTGGCATGGACTTCTGCCATTGCGCAGTGCTTGGGGGGCGTAGGGTGTTGTGGGGTTCAAGTTGGAGCTTAAGTCATTAAATGCATCGCACAGGAACTCGAAGCCTGTGTGACGTTCAGACCTCACTCGGAAGTAAACCATTGGCAGAAATCCGGGTTTCTGGTCGTGCGTTTCTAGCAGACGTCACGGCTGCTTGAAGCAGTGTACGGGCGTCAGCGATGCCAAGGGTTGATGCAAGTTGTGCTTCATACACTCATGCAGGCTCCCATGTGAGCTTAAGTCCCTTAAGTCCATTTCTTCACGAAGGCACCTCTCACACATGTGGGCTTGGAGGGCCAAAGCCCCTCATGCCTGGGCTGGTTTAGTCCGGTCTTTCTGCGTTAAGCTTTGCACGGTCTTGGTGCGGAGGGATTGGCCATCTGAACCAGCTCAAATATGCTCAAATGCTTAGGAGCAGGACACGAAGCCAGCCCAGCATCTTGCCCCGCAAAGATGGCCTGGAAATGCCACAGATTCTCTAATTCTCTGACGCTCCACCTCACAAAGACGCAGTACTCAATCGCATTGAGACAAGACCTCAACCGATTAGGTCTCAATCAGCCGCAACTTTGCAGCCGAGGGAGCGCGTTGCAGATAGTGCGGGCTGGAGTTCACACGCTTTGACACATAAAGCTACGCGCAGAAGCTTACTGCAAACTGCACATAGGCACCAAATCTGTGTCCAGGCACTGAGGAACCTTCATCTTGGCACATTGTGCAAGGGCAACGGAGGGCAAGGAAGAAGCCTGAAGCTGGCGGTGTGAACTCGTGGTTTTGGACCGATTTTCCGGAGGCTCGGCAATGCGGGGCTTAGGTATGCTTAGGCGCAGCTAGTGAAAATTTTCGGGCCAAACTCAACGCCTGTCAGATCCATCCTTCTGGTGACCTGTTAGTACGAGGGCTGCCGAGTCTGCGTTTGCCGAGCTGATGGTGGAAATGATCATGCCGCCTCAAAGGGCACGGGTAGTGACGGGAGGTAGTGCTTTAACACGCATGCCTGGGCTGCTCCAACCTGACGGAAGACGTGCGAAAAATGTCCTGCGTAGCCGCAGCGCTTCCACTACCCAGTCCTTCCAACTCTTATCCTTTAGCTTTAGCGCCTTCCCTGCGCTGGCGAAGCCAGCGTGCTATGAGGGCAAGAAAGCCGTGGTACTCGGGGCAGCTGGCCCAATACTTGGCAATGATCGGACCAAGATCCAGCAGTGTTGCGTTTTCTCAAGTTCAAGACGCAGCTTGCCCAACCGCATCTGGGTCCATACGGTTGAGGAGGTGAGGCTGTATTTTGGGGACTGCATTGTAGGGCTCCTGGAATTGACCACACCTAGGGCGACCTACAGACCTACGGAGGAGCCGCTGCCCAGAGGCCACTTGAAGAACTGTCATCTCCAGTCGGCTGAAGCCTCTCGGAAGCCTCTTTCGAGGAGAGTTCCAGGATTCAGTGTGACTCACCGGCACCCTCGATGGCTCCGGCGAATTTTAAGTTCGAGTGCAAAGATCACGCTTCTTGCAAAAGAGGTTTTTGCTGCAGTTTTTGCTCTTGCTATTGCGTCATGTCTTGGTAAGGTCTCCTCATGGAGCCCTATCGAAACTCACTCGTCCACATAATTCTTTATTCCTAGAAGCTCGCTTAGCTGGCTTGCGTCTTCCTGTTGGAGGCTCTCAGAGTGTTCACTGCGCAGGTTGATGGGTTGGACTGAATCTTCCGATTTTCCCGGTTACCGATGAGTTCTCAACAGGTCCCAACAAGTCGTAGAGCTGAAGGGGAGCTTAAGGCTGCAAGACCTGAAGCAGGGTCATCTCAAGCTGCCTGGGGAAGCTTCGAAATTTTCTGCATCATTTTGCACGTCATTCCTCGTGAAAATCCCAGAAAATGCCCAAGGAACACTACAAGAGAACCAAACACAAGGACAGCTTGCTGCGGGCCAGCCAGCAAAGCTGGTGAGTTTGCAGGGGGGTCAGCCGGGGCACCGGCATGCTCGACCTGCCGGGATGCTGGTAACGGCCAATGACTACAGAGACTGCAAGCAGCTGCTGGGCCTGCTGCTTTCTTAATTTGGGCTTCGGTTTGAGGTCAGCCATAGCGGTCGTTCAAGGTTTGACCTGCGGGGCCTCAAGTACACTTTCGGCACACTGCTGCATGCGCAGCGGATGGCAGCGGTTCGAAGCTTTGCGCTCGGCCGGCTTTAAAATTTAGGCTCAAGAGCAAAAAGAGTCAAAGAACATCAAATCTCAGCAGCTCGGGAATGGGCGCAACATCGTTCACCCAGAGAAGCTCTCGAGAGAAGTACTTTAAGTACATCGCCTGAGTTTGGCAAAGGACAGTTGTTGGCTTCTGCAGGCCCAGGGTGTCTGGGAAGGTCTGTCAGGGTGCGGAGTATTTTTCACGATCCGCAGGATGTGAGACTTTCGGATTGTTTTGTCTGTCGCAGTTGCTACCATGGCCGGTGTGGCACATGGCTTCGTCGAGTTTGCACTGTCGCAGGAGGCCGGAATGCGGTTTTTATGTTGCATACAAAGGTGCAAGCTCGATCGCGACCTAGATCTCGATCGCGACCTTAGACCTGACCGGAGCAGGTCTGGGCATTGCGGGGCTCCCCCGGCATCCCTGCGCATGCCCCACATTGCCGGGCCAAAAAACTCGTGGGTTTGAAACGCCTCCGGCCCCCCAGATTATCTTAAAGTTACGGGAACCTTTTCAGTATTTGTATGTATTTGTGGGAAAGGACGGCTTTTGCATCCTCAGAAAAAAAAAAACCCTACAAATCCAAGGGTACTTGTGGTGCTGGAAGGCCGGCCCACAACCCAAAAACCCCTCCCGGTCTGCATAGTCAGGTGCTCCGCTTCGGCCAGTTCACGCTGAAGTCGGGCCGGACACTGGGGATGTAAGCTCACTGCAAGTCCATGTTGAGGGAGCGTCGTCGGAAGGGTTCAACCATGGTCTGAGAGTTGCAAGGCTTGTGGTAGCTCACGCTTCAGGAGGTCATCGGGGCGGGCGAAGTCTCTAGGAAAAAGGAGGTTTACCTGACCAAGCAACGAAGCTCCAAAAGGCCCTGCAGGGCTCTGGCTAGCAGCTACTAACCAGAGCCTCGCACGCATTCGCCAGTGTCAGAGGACATCACCGTATTTCTTTAACGCCGGCCTCTTCACGACTGGGGAGGCCTTGGCAAGGCCTCCCGGCCAGCAGCTGTAGGTCAGGGGTGCTCTGCACTACAGAGGGTCGTACCTACCTTGCTTGCTGCAATACGGGAGAGTTAACGAATTCAGCCCCATCCGACATGTACTTTCTGAGAGCAAACCCTCGAGAGGTTGGGGGATTTCTATGCCGATGCGATCGTTGCATCTGGCGTAGAGCCGGTGGCCCAGTTCTGTCACTCCAAGAGCTGCGCTGCTTCTATCGGATTCTCTCGGTTCCACACCCCTTTAGAGCATGCGTGCACGGACTTGATGCCACAAAGCCTAAACTGAATGTGGCAATCCAGCATAGACTCGCACCAGAGGGCCCCAAGCCTTCAGGTTTGACTGCATCTTCGGCCCCGCCTACAAAGGCATCACCTTAGCAGCTGCGTGGCTTGGCAGCATTTCAGACGCCCTTCAAAGCAAGCGAAACCCTCAAGCTTTTGCGTAGCCCTCGGAACGCGGACGGAACTCATGCTTTGCGACCGGACAACCTTCAAACCTCGAGAATAGAGAGAGAGAGAGAGAGAGAGAGAGAGAGAGAGAGAGAGGGGAGGGGGGATCAGACGGACCCTCGGACGTCGCGCGCCCCTCGGGGCGGCCTTCCCTTCGGGGGGGGCTATGCGTGCAGGAGAGAGAGAGAGAGAGAGAGAGAGAGAGAGTAGGGACTTCTGCCCTACCCCTCATGCACCGTAGAAGAGAGATTACCGGCCCAACGGAAACTCGAATCAAGGTGGAAGCAGCAGTCCTGCATATGCCCTGCCACCCCCGCTGATGTTGATTTCACGACGAGCCTGTGTGACATGGTTGCAGACCCTCCCCAGCTCCCGGCACCTGTGTGGGCAAGGGGCAGTTGTTGTCGTCAACACCAGTGTCACAGCGACGACCGGAAAGAGGCGACACACGTGCCTGAAACCCAGGCGATGGGTGCGCGGCTGCACGCAGGGGGGTTTCGATCCTGCATGACCTCGTTTTGCGCGCTGAGAAGAAGACGAAGAAGACGAAGACGAAGAAGAAGAAGAAGAAGAAGAAGAAGAAGAAGAAGAAGAAGAAGAAGAAGAAGAAGAAGAAGAAGAAGAAGAAGAAGAAGAAGAAGAAGAAGAAGAAGAGAAAGACTACAACAAGAAAAGCACTCGGCAAGGAAATGTGCACCACGAATAGCAGAATCTCACTATCAGAGCAACCTCCTTGACATCGGCAGGATAGCCATCGCGCTATACAAGAATCACGGTCGCTTGGCTAGCACAGCTTTCAAGAAGCACTTGGGATGAGCTTGGGGCTTGGAGAAATCAGGACCAAAATTCGCTCCACGCCAGGGCTCGAACTCGGCAGAGAGCTCAACGTAAAACCTTCATGGCGCATGCGGGGGGTCCACGGTAGTGGCGTCGGCCTTGGGTTCTTTAGTCTGAGATGCCAGTGCATTGAACCCGAAGCAGACTTGGCATGCCTTAGTCGATACATGCTCCATCGGCTCTAGTCTCTAGTCGCAGCAATCATGTCTCTTGGAAGTTTTCAGTGGCCTTGGATACGTGCTAGGGGCCTCGTCCTGCAGCGTCCAGCTGTTCTGTAGAAGCTCTTTTCAATCTTTTGAGGGCCGATTTGAAGTTTCTTAGGACCTCAGGAGACGAGAATGCAACACGTGGCAACCCCAAAGCCATGAGAAGCTCAGGGCGGAGCGTGCCTTACGCTTACAACCGCAAGGAGGCCAAGGACTCTGACAGTCGGGGCATTTCAGGGAACACACGGCTAAAAGGGTCTCTGCAAGCCTGTGGCAAAACACATTCAGAGAGAGAGAGAGAGAGTGGCAACCACATGAGCCCATCGCCATAATTTCACCGAGACTTGACTCACCTCCGGGCGCGCCTGGTGCGCGGGGGTTCTCCCCCAAGCCCTGCAGAAGAAGAAGAAGAAGAAGAAGAAGAAGAAGAAGAAGAAGAAGAAGAAGAAGAAGAAGAAGAAGAAGAAGAAGAAGAAGAAGAAGAGGAGAGAGTGGCGCACCCCATAAGGCCCCCGGCACGGCCACCCTTCGGGGGTCTTTGAAGTGCGCAGAGAGTCTTGCCGAGGAAGTGAGAATGAGAGTGAGGCACTCTTTCCCATCAGCCCAAGAGCCCGCCACGCGCCTTTAGATCGAGAGCTTGCACCACATTGCGCAGGGATGCTGCCGGTTCGCACAGGCTCAAAACACCCATCGGCTGCTTATCGCTGTATATCACCGCACCTACTTGGGACTGACTGCCTGAAAACGCTCGGGGCTCGCGGGCACGTCCACCAGAGTGTGCCTGCAGCATCCTTCTACATGCTCACTGACAGTGAGCATGTCCGGCAAGAGCGCTAGAGTCGCTGGAGCGCCAACAAAAATCGCTAAAGCTTGATGCCCCGAACCGCCGTTTGTTAGACCTGCAAAGCTATAGGAGTTGGTTTTGGCAGGATCATGGTGAGGGCGGGCTGATCGTCGGAAAGCTGACTGGCCGAGTGCTCCTGGGCTTCGGACCTCTTCTGATGTTTTTTTGCAAGAGGGCGGCTTTTTGGTTTTCCTTTATGGCTTTAGGGCCTTTAGGGGGCTTCCTGCAGACTGCAACATGTCAACAGCAAGAGCCAACCATCATGTCGGGCTACCTCAGGGATACTTCAGGGCTCCCAGGCTCATTGTGGACGACGTCATCACAGCGGGGACTGCCATACGCGAGCTTTGCCCTTAGCAGCGCAGTCTTCGAGATTGAGCAGATTCTGAGACTCCGCCCCCACCCGACCCCCACCTGCCCCCTCCCAAGAGCAGCCTCAAGAGGTCCATGGACCTCCTGGCTGCGCAGCGAGAGCTGCAGGTCGTCGGGGTCGCAGTGGCGCTCCTGGGCTGCAGGGGGTTCCACTGTTCAGGTTCAAAACCGGGGTTTCAAAGCCCGTGGCTTCGGGCTCGGATTTGGAGTTTTTTTCGCTGATTTGGGGCTGGATATCGGAGTGAGTTAGGGTGGGGTGGGTGACGTTGAAATTTTTGGGTTGCTTTCGTGGCCCGATCCGTAGATGCACAACCAAATCCAAACAGGTCTCGGCTTTAGTTTAGGGTGCTTATGTGATGACGCCTTTGTGAGGGTGCTGCTCCCGGCGTTCAGGAAACTCGTTCCAAAGAAGTGATCGTAGCTCCGCCTCCACATTCTGCGTTCATGTCAGGATGGACCGTCAAGAGAAGGTCAAAGAGGACGAGAACGTGTCAGCCATCCAACAGGCCGCTGATGCGTTCATGCTTGGCCCCTTTACCTTGCCCGAAACCCTTGGTGCATGTAAAGCCTTGTCAATGAGAGACAAGGGGATTTCTACCACGGATCCATGTCACGGATCCACGTCACGAGTTTGTTGAACGCTCCATCATGTTCATTGCGAGTAAGGAGGGAAAGAGGGAGGGCTGCTCTGGCGCGCAAGATTTCACGAATTGGGGATGTGTCTTGGCCCAAGCGACGTGGAGACTGGAAGACACAGCGCATGAGAGCTTGGTTAAGGAAAACCCTAAAACTTACTTCGTTGCAACCTCAGGAAACTCCGAGCGCTTCAGCAGGGAAGGTCACATGCAATGGACTGCACATCGATAGGGTTTGGTTGGGGTCGAGTTTCCATTATGTCTAAACAAGGTGTTGGGGGTAGGGAGTTGTGCCATGGGGATATCATGTCGGGGGCCATGCAGAACCTTCTACGACTACTCACGCGCGATCTCCATCAGTTACAATTCGAAAACCAGAGAGAGATATACAAAATCTAAATCAGACTGACCTTCAGACTCGCGCGCCCCTTGGGGCAGCCTTCCCTTTGGGGGGGGCTAAGCGAGAGACAGAGAGAGAGAGAGAGAGAGAGTCAAATCTGGGCAAGTGTATTCTGGCAGTCATCACTTCCGGCTTCAAAAGGGAAGCAACAGGAAGCAACAGGAAGGAAGTGAAAAGAAGGAAGAAAAAGGAAAGAAGGAGGCTGGGGGGGGGGGGGAAGGAGGCCACAACTCTCGGCGGGAACGCCCTGCGTTCCCAACCCAGATTGCAAAGCTCAGGGGAAGTATTGGTGTGTTCATACTTCTGTTGTTTTTTGGGGCCTTTGAGCGGAACAGCTTCGGGCTGGACCCTCATACCCGAGAGAATGTGACCCTTCAACATTCAACAGCTTGCTTCCCCACCCCTACAAGCGGCATCAATGGCGGAGGTGGAGCGAGACTTTGGCATTCCGGCACGGCGCTGAATTCAATGTGATGGTGAGGAAGGGAGGTCTAAGGGTGACGAATGTGTACTCCGATGTTTCCTTGTCGAAACTCAGGGTTCATCGGTTGCATGAGTTGTATGCCTTTGCACCCTCGACTGTTGCTGCGTTCCAGACTTGCATAGCTCGGGGCAGATCGGGCTTGAGAGTGTTGAGTTTTTTGCTTCGGACCTAGGCTGTTGTTTCTTTGCAATGGCTCCTGTCTCCCGTGTAAAGAGGACAACTCCCTGTCAGTTTTCCGCCCGGCTATTGGTTTAGGGGTCCAGTTGCGAGAAGATTTAGGATGAGGAAGGGAGGGGAGGGCAAGTGAGACGAGCGGCGAAGGTCATGAGCATTGCGAAGATGGAGGACTTGATCACCTTCATCGATAAGAAGCGGCTTGGTCCAAAGTTCTTTGTAGGTTTTGGGCCTTCGAGAGGTGGCGGACGCAGCATGTTATCACAGTTTGTTGGCTCGGGGGTCAGGTATGACAAGGATGATCGAGAGGCGCTGCTGCAGAGCATCAAGGACTCACGTCGCATTCCTTCTCAATCAACCGTGGTTCTGGGACAGGCGCTCCAGCTACAATCGCCCAATCTGTGTAAGAAATTCCACCCACTGTGTGCCAGCACTCTCGAACCAAGCATTCCGCAGAATACGCCGCCACACCTCATCTTTCAACTTCCTTCATCCTTCCGGCTCGACCCAACGCTGTATCTGACCGCTCTCTAGTAGTAAGCAGAAGCAATCTCGACGCTAAACCGAGGTGGAGGTTCATCTCTCAAAGGCGAAGTTCAGCTCTGATGCCAAAACCGTGCCAACGGGGCCAACGGCCAAGACCTGTCTCGAAGGAGTACCGCGACCGCTTCGGCGTGAGTGTGTAGATGCGGCACCTGAGATGGGCGCCCCATTTGCAACTTCAGTCCCAAGCTTGAGCAATTTGTAGTAGCAGGTTGGGGCACTGCGCTGGGCTTAGAATGCCCACCTGCCCGGACGGGTCCAAACTTAGCCATAGCTTGAAGTGCTTCGTCATGAGCAGGCCCCCATCCCCGTTCACGTGTTGACCCCGATGAGAAATCAGCGATCCGTTTCGGGTTGTGCTATGGAGCTGTAGGGTTGACATTGAACTGGTTATAAGTTATGACAGGTCGGAGAGTTGTGCGAAGTACTAGAAGCACGACCCTCACATGAGTCAGTCGTTTCAAGCGAGTCAGAGTGGCAGCCTCCTACATCCTCTTTACGATCGCGGCCATAGCCAGAGGTGCGGCACGATAGTGGGCTCAGAGTCTGGCATCAGTTGCTTCAGAAGATCATGGTCCCAGAAGCCCAAGCAACTTGTATGCCAATGCCAGTGGGGCTTTGGAGCCAGAAGTGCTCCCCAGATTCGAGGTCTCAAATTTACTCGAATTGCTGGTAGAGCAGGGTGTTAACGACGCATCGAGTATCTGTGTTTCTTGATCTTGGCTTGGTCGAGCATTCCGTGCTAGACGCATGATGTCTTGCACTTCGACAGTGCGAAAGACCACTTTTCCAGCGGGGTCAGTGCAAGAACAAGAACGCTTGCGATGTGCTCTGCTTGAAGCCCAACCTTGTAGCAGTGATGACCATTCCGTCCGAAGTAGCTTTGGCTGAAGGCTTGTTGAAGCGTTCTAGAGCTCAGGCTCGTTAAGATGGCGAGAATGACACTGTTGTCCCTTGCTTTCTCCTTCGTTGGGCTTTGCTTGCCGCTGGGCTGCGTGTCAGCTTCTGTGGCTGACATCGCGGTTGCCCTGAATGATTGCGAGGATTGCGAGGCTGGCTTGCACGTGCTTCAGCACCGCGCCGGCCTCCAGACGATTCTACCGGGTTCCTGGCAGGCCAATCTCACAGTCACTACGAAGACGCGGAACTACTCTCAAACCTGGTGGTACGATGCTGCGAATCAGCGTTTCCGTGCGGATCAGTACGGAGTGTTCGCGATAAGTGATCTCCTCTTGCCCGCATCGCAGTTCAACTACAACCGCTTTGGTAGTTTCGGAGAGGGTGCTGAAGCAAACTGTATGTTCATTCTGATGAAAGAAGAAAATCTCAGCAGCCCTTTTCAGTGGCTGCCCTCAGCAAAGCGCAGCGGCAAGAAAACGCTCGACGGAGAGCAGTGTGCATCTTGGACTTGGACCGTCCCTTCAACAAGTTGGCTCAGCGACCCCTTTCTGGACCCAATGCCGTTAGTTGGAGGTGCTATCCAGCCTGGCACCACGGTGTCAGTGTGCTTGGCAGATGGAGTGCCCCGGGAAGTCACTGTCTCTTCGGAAAGTGTCAAAACCAATTTCTCAGTCTCCGACATCAAAGTGGGGCCGATACCTGCCGACGTGTTTGACCTGCCCAGAGCATGCAGGGAGAAGATGGAAAGAATTTGTGATGAAGGCCAGATTCAGCATGTGGAACTGTATCGCATCCATGGCCAAAAGGAAGACATATCGGTAGTGGATCGAAACTTTGCTGATGCAGACGCGTCAATGCACTTGCTCTGTAAAAGCTCCTTTGTGCTCCGATCAGACACGCAGGTGCCCGATGACATCATCACTCATTGGACAATTCTCGCAAACACATCTTGGGGCCTCTACCGAAAGTGTTGGTTCCGGAAGGGCCAGAACCTTTGCGAAGGCCGTGGCCGAGCGATCGGGCGGCAACTGGCCCTCATGCCACATCAGCGGGGGCAGATGGGTGAGTTTCAGGGCCAGTGTGGAGAAGCGCAAGGGGTGTGGTATTCAGTGCCGTCTGCCGGCAGATGCCCAGACACCCAGATAACGGAGAGTTGCTCGTGGGCTGCACCAGTGCACAAGACGAGTGTGAGCGCAGCCTGCATTGCAGAGCGCGTGTGTGGCAAAGGGGTCCCAGCTGCCGAGTTCAAGGCACTCCTGACCAACGGAACCTGCCCCGAAGTATCTTCTTAGCAGGGGGAGGCTATGGGAGGCTATGGGAGGCTATGGGAGGCTAGGGGAGGCTTTGAGCTTGCACAAGGAAGGATCCCTGGGGCCGCCCTGGCCAACGAGTCAGGGTGCCCCCAGTCAAGTTACAGAAATTGCTCTCCTTAGATTATAGAGCAGACTTTGCAAATGCGAACTGACAGTGATGTGCCCGCAACACCAAGATATCCGTGATTGCCAATTTGCATGCAGAGAAGCCGCCAGGAGTTTTTGTCGATTGCATAAGCAGGACATATAAAGCCGAGATTGCGTGCACTTGTTGCACAGAGATGGCTTCTAACCGATTCCTAGACTGCTTTAGACAGAGGCCATGTGTTTTTCGCGTGTCGGCTCGAGAAGGACGAGTAGAGAAGCAGTTTTTGAGGTCGTCCACAAGCACTAGAGCCCCTGCACATGGCAATGTTCGCACGCACGGCACTTCGTGCCTTTGTGGCTGCAAATGGAGGAATCCCTAGGGCCCTTTATTGCAAGAGAGCACCAGCAGGTTATCACAAAAAAGTGTCTTGTGCCCAGGAGCCTCGCTTGCCTTAAAGTTACAATCCCAAGGCACAAGACCCGACACCAGTACCCTAAGCTATCCTTCACCTGAGGATGACTGGAGTTCGAGTTTGAGTGCCAAACCCTAAGCCAAACGGCTGAAGGCGTCAAAAAGCACTACAGTAGATCCCTCAAACCAAGCCCACCAAGCGCTGCTGCCCAAACACCACCACCATCATTGCACAATGCAACTACAGGCAAGCCGCGCAGCGCCGATTACGTGGCAGAGTGGCAGGTGTAGGGGGTAAGTGTATGGGCTTGAGGCTTGAGGACTTCGAGTTCATGCTACTTTGGCATGTCACTTGTCACAGATGTGCATGTGGATAACTGCACAGCAGACACCGGAGGAAGTTACAACATGTCACCGCCATCCTCTTCGAATCTCGATCCACCAATTGCCTTTTAAACCACTGACAGCGTTTCAGCAGGAAGTGGAATGCAGCCTTCCGCACGTTCTCCAGCGTGAAGTATGCCCCAACCCATGAGTGGTTTAAGAGCGCCTTGGTGGCACTGCATCATGCGAATTCCTTGGGATGCACGTGTGCAACGTCTATACGTAGAGACAACAGGCAGGGCAGACAGGGTGGTGTGTCAATGTAAGGGTCATGCTAAGTGGTACATGTACTTGAAGATGCCAGAATGACGAGGCAGCGGCGACGTGCTTCCAAAGTTTGGGGGGCATGAGCTTTATCTTTAGGTGAATCCACACCGATGTTTTGGCGATGAAGCGGTCAAACGCTCAGGCACTCATTCGTAACCATCGCCCTGAAGCTTCTGCAGGGGAAAAATCCTGTCGAAACCTAGATCCGTAGAGTGCTCCGACCCCTAAGCCTCGAGCTGAACTGGCACTGCGCCCTGTGAAAGTGTGAAAGGCGAGGGCAGCAACGGGGTTCTCGGCATCTCTGAGTTCGCTCAGAGCCAGCTCGGCGAGGTGGTGTACTGCTGGGCCCTCGTCGACTCGTGTTTCTGGGCTTCGGGTTTTTGCAAGCTTGGGCTTCCGGGCTTCCAGGAGAGAAGAATGCCTCGGCCTCAGTACGGGTTCAAACGGGTTCAAGCAGAGGAGAGAAGAAAGAGAAGAAGGGAGGGAGACGAACAATTCGATCCAAAGCCCCAATATGATCCCAATATGGTGGAAGACGACACTAGTGAAAGTGGAGACGCAGGGAGGGCAAGAAAAGGCTGCGATGGCGCACACCACCAGAATGGGGTCCGAAGACTGAAGTTCAGGTAGAAGGAGCGATGTGGCCATAAACATCAAGACACATGGAAACTCAGGCCACAGGGGCCGTGCCGACGTAGCGTAGCAGTGCGAACGAGGACCGCGCAAACCAGCAAGTGACATGGAGGCAGAAGTGGCCACAACTGCAAAGCAGGGGCCGGGACAATTGAAACCCTTTGCAGGAAGCCCGGACGAGAGAAGACAATGGTGAGGTCACAGGAAGAAGGAGAAACGGCAGAAGCATGCCAAGAGCCACGCGGATGCGTTCCGGGCTTTAGGGGAGGAGATGAAGGAAGACGGCAGAAGCAGAAGCAGCAGCAAGGACGCGGCGAAGACGAATCAGAGGACGACAGTCGTGGAAAGCCAACTGGTTCGCACTTAGAGCGCCCGCGAGGTGCACGTTCTCCAGCGTGGGATGTGGATTTTGCTTTTGTGCACTTCGGCTCGCACCCAGGTATTCGGGCGACCGCGCCGGGGAAGGGGCTTGTCCCTGCACCTCAACGGGCAGAGACCCAAGAAGATATAGAAAAGCAATGAGAAAGGCTGAGGTTGGAGCCGGAGGCGTGAGTTTGTTGGCTCCAAAACTCCAGGATAAGTTCAGAAGCTTGCCGAACCCTCTTCCAGAGGTCCGACATCTATCTAAAGCCTTACATCTTGCACCTGCCTTGACCTTCCAGTTGCTCGTTACAGCTGGTCTGGATCTTGCTGCTGAGCACGTCCGCGCAGTTTGACTAAAGACAAGAGCGACGAGATATGGTCGCGGGGCGGCTTTTTCGTAGCGGTGAACCCCAGCGAGTCGCGGAGTGATCAGCTTCCCTGAATGGAAACCTGCCATGGCTCACCAAACACGCAGAGAATGCAAAGCATTCCCTCATGGAGTGCTGAAGCTTGTGCAACTTTGGAGGGCTAGGGACCTGGTGTCCATTATTCCAGTGCGCAGAATGTATTCTCCACAGTGCGACTTAATTTATGCAAGAACGGCGATCGGGGAACGTCTGTGCGCCAGTACATGGACAGGACTCCACACCTGCCGAGGTTTAATTACAGCTTTTCAACTCACAAACCGGACCCCCCAACCAAGCCTGAACGCTTGAAACGTCCCAAAACCCATTTTCAAAAAGACAAGCTCGCCAAGGTGAGCTGCCTGAGGTGGGTACTAAGTTCACGGCGAAATCCACGGTCTGTACGTTGGAGAGCGTGACGCACGGCGGCAGCTGCTTGCGTGATTTTGAAACCCTGGTTTAGGGGTTGGGATGAAAGCTTGCTGTGAAGCGTTCAGATTTCGACACGTCTCATTCTAGTATTCGGCCAGCACGCAGTGCCTGCGAACATCTTAGCAACATAGGTCGAGTTGGTGGTGTGTTTTTGATGAACAGCCAATGTAAGCTTTAAATTCCAACAACATGTCATTGCCAGCTTTAGACTAGAGGGAGGCCAACACTATGAACATTGATTCCAGTTCCCTGGGAGCAAAACGAAAGCAAGAACGACGACAGCAGCAGCAGCCGCACAGCGACTCAACAGCGACCTCAACAGCGACTGAACAGCCACCCAACAGCGACCCAAAAGCGACCCAAAAGCGACCTAGCAGGGATTCAACAGCGACTCAACAGCGACTCAACAGCAACTTAACAGCGACTTAACAGCGACCCAAAAGGGACTCAACAGCGACTCGACAGCGCAACAGCAACAGTGCGACAGCAACAACAACAGACATGGCAGCCCCTGAGCTACAGCCAGCCTGTTTCAGAAACCGCTCTTCTGGCTATGGTCTTCCAGTTCAAGCACATCACCTCCGAACCTTGCAACCTTTCAAGGATCTCTTTCTTGCCCTTGGCATCATCAACAAGACAGGCTCGTCAAGATCCCACTTAGCTCACCTTGCCGGATGCCGATGCTCAAATCTTCAACTCAAGACTGTGCTCCCGTGGCTGCTTCCTGGTCATTGTCGGGCCACCCACTCCTGTTTACGAGGACGACGTACAGTGCACACTGGCGAAGAGTCAGTCACTTGCACCACTCACATTTTGGACATCTGGCTCAGACATCGAATAGGTTCCTGAGGCGAACGATGCAATCCATACTATGAGGAAGGACAGACAGAGCTTTAACAAAGTTAGCACGTTTATGAACTCTTTTGGAACCTCTTAGTCATCGTAAAGTAAAGGCGACAAGGCATTTAACAAGTCAATAAGTTGCCTTTTCCTTCACCTATTGTGCAAGCACTGTGTTGGCTGTGTCCGGAGATCCTCTACACACAAGAGCACGCGCGCGCACACACACACACATATCCACGCATCAAAACTCTTCTAATGCCCATGACTTCACAATATTCTAAGATATTCAAGGCCCTGAGTTTGAGAACGCAAATAGCAGCTAGCAACCCATAACTGCAACAGCCTCAGTCCGACAACAGTGCAACCCAACATGACACTTGCCAAATGCTGCACCTATCCAGAAGTCGAGGAAAGCTGTCGGCGAAGTCTACGCTCCGGTCGACTGCCGCGCGGCAAGGATTGCCCAAAACTGGGCGTTATCTTCCGGAATACTCGCCTGAACACTCAAATCTCGTAACCCCAATCCCGGTCCTGATCTTACAGAGGATTTAAAGCACTACCATTGTGGCTTGTACCCGTACAAGCCTGGTAAAGAGAGACGTTGTTTCACATCATGGCTCCTAGGCCGTAAGCTCATGGTCTACATTTTTGAAGAACCTCTATGAATTGGACATACCCTGCATTCTCTGTCTATATTTTAATCATATTGAATAGCCCCCACGTCCTCTATATTTTGTTTGAATGGGAAAACCTTGGTTTCATGTACTTTTCGTAGGAAAAACCCCTTTTTGTTATGCAAGCAACCACGGAAAGGTAGAAGAAGGAAGGAAGGAGGAATGAAGGCAGGATGGAAGGCAGGAGGAGGAGGGAAGAAAAAAAACATGGGAACTTTTTCATGCGAGCAATGTGTTAGTTCTATGTACTTTCCGTGATTTTGCTGATTTATTGACATGGTTTTCCATTTCGTTTGCTCGTGGACTTTCCCGTCTTTTCGACTTTCCAAGTTCATGCCGAGCCAGAGGTTCTCCTATATAGGAAGCATCTGATGTTTTTTGAAAAATGGTTTGGGTCGGTGTATTTTGGGGTCCTTATAAGTCATTGTGAATGTTTTGTTGGATACCCTTCTGGGGATAACAGGACCCTTGGACCCAGAGTGAAACATGGAATTAGCACAGTTCAAAGAGAGAATCTAGTAGTGGACACCGCGAAAAAAACATGGAACCAGGATCGGCTGCTGCTTTGGGCGTGTCAATCTCATTTAGGGGGCCTGCTTGCGATGCGCTACCATCATTCTTATGTTCTTTACGGGACGGGGATGACAAGTTGTGCGTCTGTAAGCAGATGAAAGGATGGATCAGGTGCGTAGGGAACAAGGTTGAAGTTCACAAGTGGAATGTTGAAGTTCAACATGGGGGCTGGATCCAAGGTTCAAGATTCAAGATCTCCTTGGCATCTCTAATCTTGAATCTTGGATCTGGTCCCAATGTTGAACTTCAACCTTCCAATGTTGAACTTCAACATCGTAATTTCACTTTCTCACATAGATTGATCCCAGGTTCAAGATTCAAAAATCCAGAGTGACCTGAAAATCCTGAAGCTCGAGTATCAAGTCTTGCGTTTTGAAGGACCCACCCCCAGTTCTCCACCCTGCGGGTACTGTCGGTGTAGAAAATTGTGTGTGTGTATATATATATATATATATTCGGTTTCTATATACGTATGTATATGTGATATATACGTAGTGTGTATAGCAGTGGCTGCTGGGGGGTAGAGAGGTGAGATCACGGCAGTCAATGAGAAGCTCAACGATGAGCCTGCGCTTGTGAACAGCTCTCCCGAGGAGGCGCTTCAAACTGTTGAAGGCTGCCCCTCGGGATGTTCTCCCTGATACTAACAGTCCTTAATAGGGATTATAGTACCCCCCCATATTCCTTAATACGGATTAAAGTACCCCTATTATTTTCCCTATTGAGAGCCGTTAGTATAAGGGGGGACATCCCAAATTGTCCCTCTACCGCTTTACTGTTGTGGCGTTGGCATGGCCTGCTTTAAGATCGTTCTAGGCTTGAAGGAGAACGTTCTTGCCCGTCGCTGTGCTACCGTGTCAGTTTTCCAATGGCAGGCGCCTTCCTGATCTGCTGTGAGTGGTTTCTTCTTTGGTTATCTAGTGCTGCTGGGCATCTTGCCCAACAGGCGTGAGCATGTGTCCAAGCCAGGACGGCTGGTTGATCAAGGTGAGTTACACCGGCGACACAAGTGCCCTCATGGACAAGGCTGGTTGATGATTTTCTGGCAGAAGAAATGCCCTGAGCTGCTTGCTGTGCAGAGGCCCTTCTTCATTACTTCCTTTCCAGTCCCTTTGTAATTTGGAGCTGCTTCCCTCTCGCGGAAGGCGGCGTATGAGAAGCACCTGGAGTCCGAAAAGACAGAGGAGTGAGAAGCGCTACGGACATCACAAGCCAGCGCCATCCGCTTTTTCCGCCAAAAGAGGCAGGGGCTAACCTCCAGCACTCGAATCTAGCATGGGAGTAGTGGCAGCTGGAACACTTAAGAGGCCCTGCAGGAGACGCAACAACCAAGGGCTGTGTCGGAGAGGGACGTGGAGAAGATGGATCAAAACATGTCATGTCCTTGGAAAGGCAGTGAAAAGGCACTTGGCCCTGTTGGGGCATATTCATGGTGGCCCTATGCCTGAGGCTCCTGTAGGCCTCTACACCCTATGTCCCTTTGTCACTAAAACTGGTTCGTACGACATTTTCAGGCATGTGCAGGTTACCCAGGCCAGAACGCCCGAAGACTCGAGGTTGGGGACGCAGTTCCGGTTTTCCCCAACCCCATGTGCCGTGCTTTGCCATGGCCTTTGCTGTGGCGCCGCCGACGTCACACAGGGGAGGCGTCAGGGCAGAGTCTTACAGCGACATTCTGAGAAAATCTCATCAGAGAGACGCCTCAAAGCAATACCATGCCATGCCATACCTCCTCAATCCTAAACCCCTGAGCCGTAAAAGCACTCCTGAATATTTTGAAAATCCCCCCTAGAGGGGGCCTTTCCTTCCAAGCTGCTGTGAAGGCTGGGTCGGGGTGGCCTCCGCATCTGCCAGCTCAACATCGGCACAGCAGAAGGTCCGGGCACCCGCGATCTTGCACTGCATGGTCGCCGTTATGTTTGGGGAAAGACTCCGTAAGACGAAAGTCTGCACTTCTTGGAAGAGGAGGACAAACGTCTGATCTAGCTTGGAGTTTTCAGCCGCAAGCCCTCAAAACCCAAACGTTATTGAAAATAAAAAACCAAGAAACAACTCCCAGCCGCTGAGCATCCCCGAGCCCAGCAGATGTGGTTGCCGTGCTTTTCTCTGCGAGGCTGCGCTTTCTGCTTCAGCTTTGGCAATATGGGCGGCGAGGGGAGGCCAGTAAAGATCGGCAGCGTTCAGGGCTCAGCACAGTGAGCCTTCCGTGAAACTCAAAATTGAACGACTACCCCCCCCCCCCCCTTTCCCCAAACCTTTACTCGATACTTCTCGAAGTTCTGCATGCTCCTCATATCCATTCTTTGTGGACTGCTCCAAGGCAGTCGTTCTTGGAGAAAATGGTGTGATGCTCGAGTTGAGCCTTCAAACTCCTGAATGCCTGCTCTCTCCCTGTGCAGTCCCTCTGTTGGGGCGGCCACTGCGGACCATGCATGCCCAAAGGTCCAACGAGGCAGGGTTTTAGTGCTCAGTGGCTCGCAAGGGTCCAGTTCAGAGATTGGGGCCTTCCAGATTTGTATGCTGGCTGAGAGTATAGGCGGCTTTGTTGCGCTGGGCTTGCTCGGGGACGGGCTTCTGGTGTCTTGCAAGGTGACAAGTGCCCTCCGCGAGCAGCCCGGCTGCAACTCAGGGTTGGCTTGGATGCGGCTGTTGGGAGAGGCTTCTGGGGTGTGGCCTTCTGGGTTTTCAACATTTAAGGGAGCATGTCCTGTAAACACGCCTAATTGTTCCCTCCAGCTCCAACAACAAAAAGGGTCCCTAAGATTCCAGAGTCAGAAAGGGCACCTCTGAAAGCCCAAGCTTGCGAGGTCGGCCTCTGGCAAGGAGGCAGCTCAGGCCTTGCGGCGCCTGCGCAGTGCGCTGCCTCGATCTCCCCAGGTGCCGTCCCACTTAAGCCCTGACTTTGGGGGGGCAACAAAAAGATAGGTCCATAGAAAGGCTTGTCCCATGTCCCATATTAAGGGTGTCCAGACCGTAGATCAGAAGCCTAGCCACAAGCTTAAGGCCAGCGTAGTCCTTGCTCAGCCCTGGCTCGTGTCAGATCTGACCAACCGGAGGCTTGGGCTGTAGAAGTTTTGTGGACAGGAACTGGGATGACGGGTGAGCCTCAGGGCTTCGAGATATTGAATATTGGGCACAGGCAGTTTGACATCTTGCCTCGATTTTCTTCTGTCACAGCACGATCATGTCTCGAGTCGCAACAGTGTTCATGCAGCACCCCTCGTGCAGTTTGATCTTGCCATGAACCAGGACTCCAACAACCATGCAGATGCCAGGTACCATGCCACAATCCCTGAGGCATTCGTTCAATGCAAACTTGCATCCAACAAGGCCCAGCGGGACTTGGTGGAGGTGCTTGCCGAACTAGTGGTGCGGGCAGCTTGGTGTGAAATGTGCCATGTTGTGTGCAGCTTTGAGGGGAAGCCAAATCCGATTAAGACTAAGATCGTGCTGCTTCTACATGGTGCTTGGCTTTAGCTTTCTGCAGCCAAAGCTAAGCCCCCCCCCTTCCCCACAGCCTCATTGTGTGGAGGCAGGGCAGCGTCACCAGAAGTTTGCAGCGAAATCATCCTTAAAGACAGGCCGCGGCACGACCCGCTGCAATTAACCACCGATTCAAGGAAATCTGAAGCCAGAACGGCGCCTCCTTGTGTTCAAGCCGCCATGGAAAGCTGCCAATTATGGCTTGACGTCGCGCACGCGTCAGAGTAAGTGAAAAATTGGACTAGCAACTGTAATCGCAGCAGCAATCGTCTATAATTGGGAAGAATGAATCTGTAGCAGCCAATATAAACGAGTGAGGTTGAGCTGGACTCGTCGACCTTGGTGTCAGCCCTCATCCCGGCAGCCAACGCGCACGCTGCCTTCACAAGGCCCTGGCTACCTCTGGCATCGTTCGCGTCCCCCAAAAAAGCACTTCCGTGGAGCTCGGCAAGTTATAGGCGAAGCATGGCAAAGCTGGGCAAAGCTGAAGAACCTCCGCAAGTCCTTGCCTTCGGATGCTTACATGATCTTACAGTGCTTATGAAGTGTCACAGGGTGCGTGCTCTTGTCAAGTCCTGCAGATCTGCTGCGCCAGCCGAACTACTGGAGCGGTTTCACCAGGCCAGCAAGCTGCGCGCGAGGGTCTGCTTGTGGGTTCTGTGTTTGGACAAGGTATAAAAGAGGGCTTCCAAGAGGCCAAAAGGCCTTGCATTTAACAGTGCTCCACTGGAAGATGTCACCTGAAGCTTGCCGTCGCGTGAAGTCGACGACGGTTCCTGCAGGCCGCTTCAGAGCTGGAAGATGCAAAGCGGCAAAAAATGCGGGGTCTGGAGTGTGAAGACCCAAAAACCCACGCATCCAAGAAGCTCTGGGACATTCCATGGGGGAGGGTTGCTATCGCTCAGTGATCTGGGGTATTCCCTTTTAGGACAGCTATCGCAATCTATCGCAAGCCGGGAGACTGGGCTCAGGAAGCAAGCAGAGGTCTCACGTCTGCTCTGCAAGTCCTAGTGTCCTAGTGGTCCTAGCGACATGAAGCTTTAGTTAGCTGGGCAGGTCCAGAAACTGTGCTTGCACATGCAGGGTACTGAATTTAGAATCACGTTAGACCAGAATTCCAAAGCACAGAAACAGAAGACCTCCACCCGCCATCCTCTACCGACTCAATTGTTTTCCACAAACCTTGGAGGACGGAGACATTGGTGTAAAATCCCTTGGAAACTTCAATCGGTTAGCCTCGGTAGGCTGTCAGCAGATGCTTTTTTGGCACAGCAGCGCCGGCTCCAGAGGCAATGGGCTTTGGGCTAAGGGGAGTTGAGGTTTGCACTCGGGGGTCTGGGTCTGCCTCCGCTTCCCTTTTATCTTCAGCACAGTTCTTCGCTTCAAGGTGCAACATCCAATAGCACGGGAACCTGCGCTCGGATTTTCTGTTGTTCCCGTGCAGCCCCCTAATCATTTTGGTACGTTTGTTTTGCATTTTGGTGCTTTTTGTGGGGGGAGGGGGGGGAGGGAGGGGGAAGAAGCAAAAGACGAAAGACAGAACGAACACCAGACAGAAGAAAGCAAATTTAAAGAAGCCGGTCATAAACAAGCACCCAAAACATGAATAACAATAAGGCCAGAAAGAGAAGAACAGAAGGCGGACGAAAATGACTACATCCTCTCCAAACCCGCCATGCGAACATTGTTTTTGCAATTGGAGGCTGCGCTGCGAGCACTTTGTTTGCAAACGGGGAGAAGGGGGCTGCTGCGCCCCCTTCGTAAAAGAACCCTGAACCCAAAACAACTCCAAAACGGACAAACTAAAAAATGTAACCTTAAGTCCTTTCCCGTTCCCAGGAGCTTTCCTACGCACTCTGGGCTCTAGTCAAGCTCGGCGACCGTGGCTCGCCACTCCTGCAGCAGCTGATGGAAAAGCCGCTTGAGTAAACGGGAAGGGGCAGCTGCAACTTATTGGGACGGCTTCCATATTGTTCTGTTCTTGAGGGCTCTTGGGCTCCGAGGAGGGAAAATCCACGACCCCCTAAAGGCCCTAAAGCCCAAGCTCAGGAAGGAGTCGCTGGAAGCTTTGCCTATGCTCCGCCCAGGTGTCCGAGTGTGAGGGTTGAAGCTCCGCGCCCCAACCATATTAAGCTCAGTCTTCAAGTCTCCACATGCGCTGAGGTGCCACAAAGCGATGCCTTCCTTTGGTGCTGCGCAGATGTCTCGATTGGTGTGGCCGCCTGTCAGCGTTCTGCTTTCAAGGGTGCGGCAGGTCAGCGTAGGAATGGCATCTGCATGATGTCGGGGGATCCAAGGGATGGTGAAGCGGAGCAGCTTGCAGCACAAAGCTCCAGTTCTCTACGTGCTCACGTCATGAATGTTTAGCAGCCCAGCATCGAAATGGATGATGGATTCCTGCCTTCTTTCCTGGAACCCTGGATGCTGCTGCAACAGAAGAAAGGCGGTCTGCTTTAGTTACACATTCTTCCGCCGCTCCGCTGCCACTTGAGAACTGCTCTTGTTGTGAGGCGCTGTCCGTGAAATCTTGACATTTAGGCGGCACGAAGGCTGAAGCAGTTCAACAATCCCTTTTGAGGCATAATCCCCTGATGCCTACTGCTTCGAGACTCAAACAAACCCTGAGGTCTCGAGGAAAACTGCGGGAAATGCTCCAGACTGTGCCGGTGATTTGTCTGTGGTGTCAGGAAAGTATGCAGTACAGGGAGGTATGATCGGTTCGGTGCTAAGATTCGGGCGGCCAGCAGGGTTATCGGCTTAGACTTCTATGCTGCGGCAGTGCCGACTGCAGCTGCAGGTCAATGGCCACTGCGCAGCTCCAGGCATTGCCTACAAATCACACCGCAGACAGCAATTTATGCCATGATTTTCGGTATCAATAAGACATGCATGTGCGTTCTCCGTTGCGGCACTGTCAAGGTTGCACGCTCGAAGAATTTCATCGTGGTGTCATAGTAGTTACTTTCGTCGTGGCGGCATTGCAGTGCCACGTGAAATCGTACCATGTGCTTTCAGCCATAGCCAGCCTTTTGTATCACACAAGGAAGATGAGAGAAGACCGGTACACGTAATGTGAGCGTGAGGACTTTCTGTGTGGAGGGCCCATTTAAAGTACCCTTGGAAGCCGCTGAGCCTTAAAGATCCTAGTGCAGCTGCTGCTGGATGCAGGATGCCCCGTTGCTGTCGTGCTTGGGGGACCATGCAACGCAGCGAGCGCAGGCGCAGCGGGCGTGTTGCAAGTCAATCTTCGACTCTGCAACATGGGGGTTATGTGTGCTGCAGACACCAGTAAGATACCCTACAGGTTCGATTGTAATATACTTGTTCCGCGTGCTCTCTAACTCTGAGTGTTCAGGGGGCACACAGGAATTTCAGCTGGACGTGTTCATTGTGTTCCGACGAAGAATTCTCGATTGGTGCATGTTTGCTTGACAAGCCTCGGCTCTCTGAAGCTTGTGCTGCAGTGTCCGTCGCACCAAAGCAATACACTGAAAGAGAGCCAGCTGTCGAGGCATGAAGCATTTGGCACACATGGTTCATCGCTCAAACTTGAGACACAGGGGTACCTCTTCATACAACACACATACCCGGAATGACGAAAGGCATGTCCTTGCCAGTGTCTTCAGCGACCGCTGATGGGAAGCCTCACCTTGCAAGCGAACCCGTTGCCACCGTCTTGTGGCATGCGCATGGCCAGTCCCAAGCTTCGACAGCACATGTTCATGACCCAAAATCTAACATAGCTCTGAACCAGGAGCTACTCAAACTGCAACTTCCTCGTGCCATAATTTAACTCCAAGCACGAAGGAGCTGCACCCGCAGCGTGGCCTGGCCGCTTGACTTGCACCGCTCTTTCGCCATGCCGCCAAGCCAGGGCAAGCCAAACCCCTTTGGCGCTTGCACATGGCTTGCACCTTTGGGTTTAGGCTTATTGGACGGGGCTTCGGGTTAAGGGTTCCTGAGCCACGAATACCCAAATGTTATCGGACTGCTATCGGATAAAGTGCTTGAAGATTCAGCGTGCAGGCCCTCAGGACCTTAGCGGAGACATAAAGCGTTGACATCGCTGTCGAGATCTGCACAATAGGGAAGGAGGGAGAGAGGGAGCAAAAGAGCGAGGAGAGGGGGAACAAACAACCCAGAAGCAGGACCTTTGGAGAATCTCCGAGCGCATGCCAGAGGATGCCAAACTCCGACAGTCCTGCCCGAAAAAGCGAGTCAGTACTGTGAAAGAACGTGGGCAGTGATGCAAATCCGGATGAAGTGAGAGATCCGGGGAAGCCAGGGCAAACAACCGCCGCATCGAACCCGGCCAACAGGCAGACCCAACCCATTCAGCCAACGCGCTGACACCGCGAGAACAAACAGTTGAACAGACCAAGCCGCAGAGACGGCCCTCGGGAGTCCAAGTGCGGTGTATTGGGACAGCCTCGGTGCAGCGATCAGCAAGCTACACTCTGCATAGCATCCAGCAGCCTGATGGCAACACCTGGCCAAGCCACCTACACAACACCGGCCCCGCTCGAGAGACGCAGCAGGCTGCAGACCGAGGGGGTCTTCGGCCCTGCGCCATGCCCAGTAGAAGGAGGGGAAGAAAGAGGGAGGGTAGTAATAGACAGTGAGAAGCTCGCAAGATAAAGAAGAAAGAGGGGTTGGGAAGTGGGAAGACACGGATTTGCGAGCCTCCGGCCCAAAATGCAATCTTAAGATTTGGGGCATCCGTAGCCCGTTCTCATTGAAGCTAGCTGACCAGTTCCGCGTTTCGGGCTGTGTTAGCTGTAAGCCTCAATAGTCTGAGTCCACCAACGCCCAAAATACGCCCCCCAAAACCGAGCACTCCTCTCCTTCCCAGCACAGAAAATTCACAGAGCTTGATACTATTTGCACCTTGCAGGCCCAGCGTCCCAAATCCTTACTTTCCAAGCAAAGAAACTTGAAAACCTTGTCAATCCATCGCGAGGCGATGATGGCGTGGGCCCTGGCGTCGCTTGGCGAAGATGTTCACACTTTATGCCGGCGTAGACCTCCAAGTGTATAAGACCACTTCAAGACCACGTCACGAGCCCGAGAGGCAGGACAATGCGTCCATGCCACGTTTTCGCATCAGTGAGGCACAGTCTCAAAAGTGCACGGGCACCTTGGCGGGAGCGATTTTGACCACGGAATTAAGGGAGAGCGCGATCTGGACCCAAAACGAGCGCCGCTCCGGGATGCCCAAATCACCGAGGTAGCTCAGCGTATTCCTCCTTACCTTGACCACTTGAACCTCATAGCCCATAGGCCCATAGGGTTGGATGGGTCTGTGCAGGGCTCCAGGGCTGTCACGTTTACGTCTACGTCTTACCTCCACCTTTTGGTTCGATGTCCGAACTTTGCCGAGACATACCCTTCTACTGGACATTGCTGGATGCGTGATCCCGCATGTGGAAGTCTGCTACAAGACAGCGGCCCTCAAAGGCATCCATCGGACCGCGGGGACACCTGCTACAAATCACCTGTTTCCAGAAGGTCCTACGCTTGATTACACCCCAAATTCTAAACTATGCTGGATGCTAGTTTGTGGCACGATGTGTGTTGGAAGCCCTTGCCTGCATGGTGCCGGAGCATCGTGATGGGCTCAGGAAGCTGGAGCACTACGATCAGGGCTTGAACCGCACGCGACTCGAAGGCATCACATC